GATGCGTCGGGCAGATCAATAATGGTCTAAAGCTAGACGTTAAAACCGGGAAGTTAAGCCTGTGGAGGCTCTTCCCCACCTTCGGCTGACTGAGTAATGGCACAGCCGACCGACGCGGCAGGCCACTTTGCACTCCTGCCTGCAATGCATGCACCCTTACATGTGCAGCCTTCTGGTATTTTCATGTGCCTGGGAGATGTGCGGGCATGGGGGCCCATGTGCCCCATGCCATTTGAGTGCCCGGCGGCGGCGCTGCCTGCCGCCGGGAGCCCGCACCAGCATCGGCACCCGTCGGCCTGGCAGGCCTAAGCTGCTAAGGATCCCCACGTCCCCCACCACGTTGTGGGGGTTGCGTGTCCGGCAGGACGGGGAGCGGGGCCAGGGTGGGGTGACCCTGGGACGCTCAGCTGGGGGGAGGGTGGTCGGAGCCATGGAGAGGGTGCTCCATGGTCCACCCCCTCTCTTGATGCCCCTTGATCACGTGTGCCCCCTGCCCAAGGTCTGCTCACGCGGCCTATCATAGCGGGGTGACTGTAACACAGGGCACAGCCCTTTCTCTGCTTTCGCGCGGTTCCCGTCCCGTTTCGGCGGGGAGTCTATGTTGCAAGCTAGTTCTTGCTTTACCAGACTTTAAGCCCACACAAGCAAGCAAGCAAGCCCTGGCCCGGGCCCTCCGGCCCCTCCGGCCCCTCTTGCCCCAGAGCCCCATTCAGCCCACCAGCGTGGTCCCAGTGCAGCAGCCCGACTCAGGAGGCAGCTAGAATAGACGCCACTGTTCGGCGCCGCAGGCATGTTGGTTGAGCAGCTGGCTGGCGCCCTGGAAGCGCTGAGTGCGGCAGCAGAGCCGTGGGTCGGCACCGGCTGGCGGGAAGTCCCCTCGTACACTCTCTTCTTTGGCGCTGTCTTCCTCCTGTCCCTCCCGTTTTACGTGCGTTGCTGCCCTGCTGTGCCATGGCTGCTTTGTTGTGTGTGGTGCTGTGGCTGGGTAATTGTGGGTGCGCTGCTGCTTAATTGTGCGCTGGGCTGGCGGGCAGAGGCAGGGTATCATACCCTGCCCATAAGCAGTCCGGCAGTCAGGCAGGGCGGCAGGCGGCACAGCAGCTGCCACACCACTGCTTGCGCCGCTGCCTTTCTCGCCTTGACCGTGCACAGCCGCACTTTCTTGCCCTGCTCACACAGGCACATTCACGCATGCAACAGCAGACAGCCGCGTCCCAGACCACCCTGCACACCCTTCCCCGCTCCTGATGTAATCCCCTCCTTTCTCCCTCCGGCTGTTGTCCTCTGCAGTACTATGTGGTGGGCGTGGATGGCCGCAAGGCTGCCGTCCTGGCCTCATGTTCCATGTACAGCGTGCACGGCGCGCTGTCGGCGCTGGGTGCGCTTGCTGGCCGCCGCCCGGCTGTTTTGTTTGATTGGTGGATGTGTGTTTCTGGGTTTGTTGCTGCCCCGCCGCTGCTTGTTTCATTCTGGCTATGCTGTTGCTGTGTTGTTGTGAAGCTGCTCCCTCCTCTGGTTCAACGAGCGTGCCTCCCTTGCCCTCCCCTCCTCCCTGATCCCCTTGCAGGTGGCTACCAGCAGCTGCTGGCCTGGCCCTCCTTCCAAGTCGACCTGCCCAACACGCCGCAGCAGGTGGGACCATGGGCTGTGTGTGTTGTGCTTATGTGTCTAAACCCTCCGAGAGGGCACAGGTTCGATTCCTCCCATGTCGAAACTTTGTGAGGACAAACGCGGCATAGCTGACCGGCTCAGCGCCAATCCAAGCCAATTCCTTCGGGAACGCCTAATAGAATCGCCAAGGCTTCGGCACAGGCCTCCCCGGGACCCATTCACTACTAGTGGGGGGTACTGCACTTGGCGCGTCGGGCAGATCAAATAATGGTCTAAAGCTAGACGTTAAAACCGGGAAGTTAAGCCTGTGGAGGCTCTTCCCCACCTTCGGCTGACTGAGTAATGGCACAGCCGACCGACGCGGCAGGCCACTTTGCACTCCTGCCTGCAATGCATGCACCCTTACATGTGCAGCCTTCTGGTATTTTCATGTGTCTGGGAGATGTGCGGGCATGGGGGCCCATGTGCCCCATGCCATTTGAGTGCCCGGCGGCGGCGCTGCCTGCCGCCGGGAGCCCGCACCAGCATCGGCACCCGTCGGCTTGGCAGGCCTAAGCTGCTAAGGATCCCCACGTCCCCCACCACGTTGTGGGGGTTGCGTGTCCGGCAGGACGGGGAGCGGGGCCAGGGTGGGGTGACCCTGGGACGCTCAGCTGGGGGGAGGGTGGTCGGAGCCATGGAGAGGGTGCTCCATGGTCCACCCCCTCTCTTGATGCCCCTTGATCACGTGTGCCCCCTGCCCAAGGTCTGCTCACGCGGCCTATCATAGCGGGGTGACTGTAACACAGGGTATGTGTATGTGTGTGGTACAACTGTATGACTCAGCACACACACGCACACCAGTGTGCCCCCCGTCTGCAGAAGCTGCTCAACGAGTTCTCTCTGGGCTACATGGCAGCAGACATGCTCTTCTTCCTCCTACCCTTCACGCCAGACGGTGGGTGGCGGGCCTGGATGTGGCGCCCACCCATTGCCTCATGTACATATTACTACATCAACACAGTGTAGGTTGGGGCTCACCACCTACCACACCCCATGCAGACCATGAACACATACTCCACCACACAATCTCCTCCATCTACCTCGTGGGGTGAGGCAGGATCTGCCGTGTCAGCAGGCTGGGGCAGGCCTGGCGGTGCATGTGTATGCACTTCTCCCTGCTTGCACGGCTCCGGCCCCAACGCCGATCCCTCATTCACTTTTGGCCACTGCATCCCCTGTATCGAATCGCTCTCCTCCGTTCCCCGCCACGCAGCTGCCTGCTGCACCACCACGGCGCCATCGGCTGCATCATGATGTTCTTCCTGGCGACGGTTACCTCCCCTGTCTTCAGCGTCTTCACCATTGCAAAGGAGTTGCGCCACCACAGCAAGGCAGCCCTCCAGGTCTTCACGTTCACCTCCCCGCTCTTTACAGGTGGGTGCCTTTGTCCAATCTGCCTGCCCTTGCCCCGTCCCGCCCACCTTTCCCTCTCTTCTCCAAGCGCCATTACCACTGTCACTGACCCACCACCCTCTTATTCTGTTTCACCACCCCTGCAGTCGCCTTCATCAGCGTACGCTCCGTGATGGCACCCCCAGTGGTTGCCTGGTTTGTCTTTACACTCTGGTTCAGGTGCGCACATCAGGATGGCACGCACAGGGGCGCGCGCCTCCTGCTTGCATTGCTTGTGTGGGCTTAAAGTCTGGTAAAGCAAGAACTAGCTTGCAACATAGACTCCCCGCCGAAACGGGACGGGAACCGGGCGAAAGCAGAGAAAGCAATAAAACAGGGGTGGAGCAAGGCGACATGCAACGCAAGCAGCTGACAGGGCACGCATCGAAACGTGTGTATGACTGGCAAAGTGGCATGGCGCATTGGGGAGAAACGCAACGGTACGGGAGCATGGGCTGGCCAAACGGCAGTGCGGAACGCTAGGTCACTAGAAAAGCAGGGAAAGGCGCACTATGTATGCAATGAGGGCAGCCCCGGCTCGGGGCCGTTGAGAAAGCAGTGGGCGGGAGGGGGGAGGCCCCGGTGTGGGCGGGCCCCATCGAGGGGGGATGGGGCGCGCAAGCGGCCAGATGGGGCGGGGCGCGGGCGGCAGTGGAGTCCTGCGGCTGGGTGGGATATAGGGCAATGAGCGTTGAGCAGTGTGCGATGAGCAATGAGCAATGAGCAGTGAGCAGCCCCTCCCTAAACAAAGTGAAGCGCAGGACGGGGTCCGGTGGATGGGAGGCAAGGAAACGCGGGGGGTTGCCACGTGCGCTACCGCCGCCGCCGCAAGCAGCACCCCTGCGGCGGCGGCAGCGGCAGCAAGCCGTGGACCCAAACGCCGTGCCGCCGCCGCCGCAGGCAGCACCCCTGCGACGGCGGCGGCAGCAAGCCGTGGACCGAAACGCCGTGCCGCCGAGTCCCGTGGCTGTGGCCGTGGGCTTCTGGCAGGAAGCTACGGCCGCAGCTCGGCGGCACGGGGGCGTCGCAGCGTGCCGCCGCCGCCGCCGCGCTGCCCCCCAGGCACGGCGGCGGCGGCAGCAAGCTTGGGCCCAAACGCCGTGCCGCCGAGTCCCGTGGCTGCGACCGTAGACCGTGGGCCGGAAACTGCGGCCGCAGCTCGGCGGCACGTGGTTCTGTTCAAATCGCCAAGCGTGCAGCAGCGCCGAACCACGCTTCCCGGCCTCGGCGCATGCCTTCAGGGGCCCCCTATCGCTGGGCACACCCCTCCAACACCGAACATGCGCCCGGGGGGGAGGGCGGCCCGGGCTGCCCAGGCCAAAGTGGGCCGCCCTCGAGCAAGAGGCGGCCGGTCTGTGTGCTGAATGAATGAATGGATGCGTACTACTGCATTTTTGTTGTGGGGATTGGCAGGCTTGTCATCACACTCTGGCCCAGTGCCTGCCCTGCCTCGCAACACACACATTCACTCGCTCTCACACATCTTATCACCAAACACACACACCATTCACGATTAACCATGCCACGCAGTGGCTTACACACGCACACCAACATACCGTCTCTGCCTGCCTGCCTGTCTGCCTGCCTTCAGGAGCTCGCTCATCCCCGGCCCCTGGCGCTTCGTCATGGGAAGCTGTGTGTTGCTGGGCATGGTGGTATCTCAGGTGGGTTGTGCACAAGTCCCAGCACACATCCTGGTCTGCATCAATCGGGCCCGGCTGTGCCATCACTACACACACACACATATACACATACATCGCTGCCACCGCCTGCTGCAGATTTGGTCTCACCGCCTGCAGCGCAGCTACGCCAAGCGGCGGCGCCACGCTTCACGGCTGGCTGGCGGCGGCGTTGCGGCCGGGGAGGTGAAGAAGGCGGACTGTGTGTAGACCGTCTGTCTGGCCGTGACCTTTTGTTACAATGAGTTTTGTCAA